AAAAAAAAAAAGAAAAGAAACATGGCAATTTTGTTTCTTCTTCTTGCAGAATTTCTTGATCAACTTTGCAACGTCATGTATACGTCATCAAAAGCTAATCATACTGTTATTGGTCACGTGATATGGTCTGAGAAGTCTGTAGAAAGCTCACTGCAGTGCATGAAATATTGTGCAAGCACGGCGAATGGACAATGTAAATCATTTAACCACAACAAGGTGACAGGCGAATGTCAGCTTAATAACGAGACAGGACGAGATGAAATTGACGATATGAGGGAAATAGAGGGATACAATCACTATTACATCTCCAAAAGCAATCCTATAATGTTGCCATAGAGACAAGCCTACCATGCCGAGCATGATAAAAGGTTGTCTTTGCGTGGAAGTGGATGAAAAGAAGAACTTGATTTAGACTTTGTTCTGGAAGAGGGAGTACACCAAACTCTTGTAAAGTAAAATCGTTGTGCAAGTCATACATGAACTTCTTTATTATTTGTCATATAACTATTTTTCACGGGACAGTAGGTGAGGGACATTTTAAATACATTTGTTTCACCACTTTCTTCACAATATTTTAGTGCATTGGACTCTAAACCGATTTATTCGTGATCTTTGTAAACTAAGAGTGAAGGCGACTATAGTACGGTTGCTTTATTAGTCTCTTCATGATGTGTAACTGTACATAAAATATTTCCATTGTTTATTAAGTTAAAAACTGACCCCTGTGTAAAGGCATTGGCCAAATGAAAGGCAATATGAAAGAAGAAGAAACAAGAATGGAACGAAAGGGTTTTAAAATTAAAAGAAGAACAATTTCTCCTCTGAAAATTTACAGTTATTTATTATCCTAAGCACATGAGGATGACGATGAACTCCCCTGGGTAGCATGATTAGAAAAAAAAAAAACTTGTACTTTTCAACATTGTATTTGTAAACCAGTTTGTTGACGAATTCTGAAAGTGGAATAAATAACTGGTGTAAATATCGTATTTATGGAATAAATATTTCTTGCTCTCTGCCGCTGTGATCAAAATTCATATAAATACTAGTAATACAGAGACCTTATTATCACAGATAGTTCACTTGGTCGCGAAAGGATAAAAGTTGAATACACATATGGGCAGAGAAGGGACTAAATGCTTCGTTGTAATAGTTAGACATTATTAATAATTAACAAACCAAAACAAAGAAAAACAGTATACGAAAAAATTTCATTTTCCTTTCCTTACTGACTACGAGCCAATAATTATAATTCGAAACTAGACTTTTAAATGAAATTAAAAGTCCATAGCAAAAATCAACTATAATACGTCAAACGTTTTAGCTCCACTTTGAAAACAGTGCAAACCGCGAGGAAACATAAGCTACGAGCAATGATAATTCGAAAATATTTTTTGTGCCTTAGAAAAGTTATTAATTCAAATTATGGAGAGGGTTGTAATGGATATTTCCGTAATACAAGATTTCTCATTTCGTCTGACATGAAAGTTTCAGCGGCTGATGGTTTTTTCCTTGACTTAGATCGCGATCTGCTAAATAGTAATTTTGTTTCTTATCTTGATCACTAGTCGTGCTAGAATGCACTGATGTCGTTTACAGTATAATTAGGGTAAACAAATCTGTCCCAATGAGAAATAAGTAAAATTCAAATGTATTGAGTCGTCGCTTTTAGACGTGATTCTTTGGTTGATAATACTATTATTGCAAGCTTCACTCACATATAAATTTACCTAAAACACATTCAAACTACAGACAAATAAAGTTTCCCTCCTCGAGTGATGAAACGTGTTTGAGGTCAACTGAAAAATCCTTATAAATTATATATTGAACTTTGAAATAGTTTGCGTTGAATAAGAAAANAAATGTATTGAGTCGTCGCTTTTAGACGTGATTCTTTAGTTGATAATACTATTATTGCAAGCTTTACTCACATATAAATTTACTTAAAACAAATTCAAACTACAGACAAATAAAGTTTCCCTCCTCGAGTGATGAAACGTGTTTGAGGTCAACTGAAAAATCCTTATAAATTATATATTGAACTTTGAAATAGTTTGCGTTGAATAAGAAAACGTAAACATTGTTCGACTATATTGCAATTTTCGAAAAATAATGAACGTTGCAATGCTCAGTTTTTGGTTTACCGCTCCAGATTGACCTCGAGCTACATTTTGATTTTGGACATCCAGTCTGGCCTCTGACGTTTACTTGGAGGCTTTCTTTTATATACTCTGCGTTTCACTGATACCGCCAACCACTTTCCACCGTCATAAATTAAAAGTGCAGGGGTTCTGTAGTGTTGTTATGCTTTCAGGGTTTGCGTTCCCTTCGAGGTTTTTCACTTCGTGAAAGTCATGCAAAACATTTTAAATGCTGTAGTTGTAAAGATTTAACAACATATTTTAAGGCTAGCTAAAATTATACCGTGTGGTTTGAAGCAGAGACAGATGCGGTTCCTTCTATTCGAATAAAGCTTTTTAGTTGCGAAAAAACATACTGAATTATTGATAACAATACCAAGCCCACCTACGTCACTCACCACGAATGGTAAGAGCATGTTATAAACCTAGATAGACGTGGGTTGTAATGGTTAGGTATTAATATTTTCGTGTTTTTATTATACCATATTTCTTTTCATAAGGTAGACTAATATTTTGTAATTCTCTCATGCAAACATCTGTTTAATTAACTAGATTTGTTCCCGATACTCAGCATGATTGCCACATGTAATATTCTGACCATTAATGTTTTGAATTGTTATAGTAAGTGAAAACAATTTACAGGACAACGTCACGGTATTTTAGACGAATCCCAGTCACAAAGTACTGAACAACACCGCTGAAATGGAATAAATTCTCAGATGTTCATTAATTTCGTTGACGTCATGAATGTGAACACATTACTACTGTACCAGAAAAGATTTCTGTTTATTTTCTCAGTACTCCAATCCTACAAGATAATGCATAATAATTAAGGGTAACTCTATACTATGCATGCAATTGAAATGTTAAAAAGAAAAATGAGTATTTTACACCAAAGCCTGATCAAGCTAAACAAACATCAGTGTTGAACATTGAAAGGACATAGAAAGATTAACTGTCCCAAGAAACTTGAGCCCGATGTATTGAATACATTTTATGCGACGCGGGTTTAAAAACTCGAAATTTAACAAAGAATGTATGAGCGCTTTAGCGCTTTTGCCACCCAGACATTTGGCAGTTTTTAAAAGCCAATTTCACCTTGAATATTACACCGAAAGAGCTAAAAGTCTTTCCAATTTTTAAGTTTCACAAGGTCTTTAAATGTTTGTAGGTAATCTGAGCATGACGTCTTCTCTGCGCAAAGTCGTATGTTAATGAGGACAAATGTAAACGATAACGTCAGCAATGGTCGCTCTATAACAACTTGAAATATAAATACTCCCCTTAAAATTTACGCTGATAAATTATTCACACAAACTATACCTATATATCTTTTATTTTTCTTATATTAGAGGATGTTACCTTTGAGCTTTAATGACCAACACCCGTACGTGGTCTTTACTTCTGCACTACATGCACCTTGTTTGCATTAAGACGGTTCATTTGGTCCTGGAGATACAAATATCGATATGAAGTGGACCTCAGCAATACAGGCATAAAAACAGTGCACTTTGATTCGTCCTAGAAACACTTAAATCCACAGTGAGGATAATATGTTATTGAAATGTGGAGCCAGTTACTTGCGTTTTCGTCAAGTTCATAGCCCTTCATTTTAAATAATTAAATAGCTTACCAGGTACTTTAAAGCTGCCGCATGCAAAACTTACGATAAGTCTTCGAAAGGAATTGTTTCATGGCTCCAAACACACCTACATGCAGTTGTCATTGCGACATAAAAAGGTCGCCGTAGGAGTTTGAAACATGTAATGAACCCTGCGACAAACGAAACCTCAGTCGTTGCAAGTAGCGAAAATTGCGTTCCACAGGGAGTAGGGTCAATTATTGGCCCAAACTGAGTTGCGTGCAAGACCGCCTTGGCTGTGAAGTACCTAGGCGTTGGTGCTCTGGGTTCATCAAGCAATCTTTGCTCCCTTTGCGGGGAATTAGGAAAGATTGCGTGATCCGCTCACACCAACTGCGTAGGAGGGTAAATTAACTGTATCCTTTAGAATTATGGATCACTCTGCATGTGAATATTTATGACGCTTAAAATGTTGCCTCGTGAAACGTTTGTCCAAAACGTCAAACTGGCCTCTACATGTCTCTATCAAGTTATTGACTTGACTTCTGGCACCAAGATAAAAATAATCTTCATGCAATTGAAATTAATAATTCAATATATTTTTGTAAACAAAAATACGTAAATAAAGATGGAAGATCATTTTATCCCGCCACCACCACCACCACCAACAACAACAACAATCCTTTATTTACACACGATTTAGTTTAAAGCAATAGGTTTGCTTGTAGGGTCGTGTAATCTACACTAAGAACAGAAATATGTGCAGTAATAATATGATAATTCTACAATTTCACCTTATCAACGATATAATATGACAGTTTATCCTGTATTTTGCAACTGTTTTTGATATGTTTTGGAACACTTTTTAGAACTGACAAGATAAAAAGGAACAGCGGGACAGAAAAACTGCTTTTTGGAAACGAAAATCTAATTTCGAAGAACTAAACTCAGTTCTACGGCATAGCGAATTTTTCAAAGCGAAACGTCAGCCCAACAGATAGCATTGGTAAAAAGGTTTAACGTCGAAGTAAACTCAACAGTCAGTTTGCCATTAATATAAGATATTATTTCATTAATTGGCATTGTTATGTTTCATTTTCCATTTTGGTAATAGTGTCTTTTTATGCTAAGTAGCCACCAAAAATTGCATGAATAATTTATTTATTTTGTTCCTGCAGCTGTTGAATCGTAGCAAGTGCCATCGCTCAAGGACGCTATTTGTTCAGTAAGCTCTGCCGAAAAATGATTCTGGCACAATTCATTCATATTTTCCTGCTGTTCATGCTTCAAAAGGTTTGCATCGCTCGTTCTCAAGTTTAAGAGTAATGAGCTAACGATAAAACGATTACTCAAGCAGCCTTAGTTACATCTTTGTTTTCCTAATCTTTACCAACGTTTAGGAACATTTTGGTATTTGTGGAGTTGGAGGTAGGTTTTAATTTAGGCATTGTGTAAATTAAGTTTCTGTGAATCAAGGGCGGGACAGCAATTGGAGAGTGAGCATAGCCCAGTGCTGTACAACGCATTTGAAACATTGAAGATTGCTTGAAAGAAGGAAATGTCCGGTAAAATAATAAAAACAGCATGAAGTCAGAGAGAATTAAAGAAGAATGATGGAACAAACATAAAGAATGTAATTTGCGGAGATGCTCCACCTCCTCTTTCTCGAAGGTTTCTTCTTTCCAGAAAGACTCTTCAACGCCCTTTCAGTGAGTTATTTTCTTTGATGGATTCGCGACGAAAGCGGACTATGCTTGTTGAGTTTTAATTTCAAAAAGAAATTTATTGGGTTGAATGTTTTGTAGAGGAGAGAGAGAAAATCAGTTTTCAGTTTCCAAGTTGTTTAAAGTCTGTATAAACGAGTCTTTTAACATCTGAAACATTTTGTTTATAGACGAAGATAGGATACACAAGTCGTAAGTAACAAAGCCTTACGTAAGCTACAAAGCCTTAGAAGTTTCTTTTAGCGTTAGTTAAACAAAATTAATCGGCCGCTCGTGATTTGGCATTACCTCTTCAAGCCTTCTCAGTGTGTCGTTTTTCTTATGTATTAAGGACAGTGCAGTTCACCTCTGGGGCTAGAGGATAGGTCCATTCCGGACCCAGACATCACGGCCTCTTCAGAGGTTAGCATTTACTATGGCCCACGACTCGGCAGACTGAACAACGTAGAGTCTGGTAGTGACCAAGGAGGCTGGTGTGGCTTAGTGAAACTAGGAGATTGGATACAGGTAAAAGATGTTACTTATTAACTGCTAAAATGTGAACTTGAAGTCAAATATCAAAAACTGTATCAAAGCAAAAGCAAAAGGAAAAACAACAACAAAAAAATAGATGAGATGCATGAAATATTAAAGTCAAGAGGTTTATATGAGGATCCACAATAACAATAATTGAATCGAGATGTGAAACAACAACAACAAACTCTGCACTTTCAGTCGCGTTGAGAAGGTTCACAGAATATATCTAACCTAGAGCTATATTTACACTTTGGCTTGTCAGAAATCAATAATGTAAGAAGAAAACGCCTAGTTGTTCAGAAAATGAAGATAATGGGGGAAAAGGGGCATATGTAAAATAAAAAAAAATACCAATAGTAAGAATATTTCTCAATCATCAAGACCATGACTAAGGCATTCAACCGTTACAAGTTCTAGATCACAGTCATAAGTAAGGCTACTGTTATTATTCTTGAAATTTCTCGCTAAATTTTGGATTAAAAGGTTAACTTAAGGAAGATTGCCAAGGTAACAGCAATTGCCACTCAAGGAAGACAGGACTACCCACAATGGGTGAAGACATACAAGATCTGTTATGGTCAGAAACTAGATGGTTACTGTGAGCTTCTTGATCAGGTAATATAACAGGGAAATACACCATATCAACAGTAGTATTGCTAGCTACAAAATTCTAAACTTCAACTGTCTATCTCAAAAGAAGATGAAGAGTGGATGTTAAGTTTTCATGGGGAATAACAATGCGTTTTAAGTCGTTTGCTGTCGTCTTCGACAGGAAAATCCCTGTCACAAAATTGGCTATTGTTAGAGTCTTCCGCCTGAGTGATCTAAAAATACCAGAAAGATGAGCCGAATTACCTTGGGCATAAGACTAACTCTCTTACCCTTCATTCTCTCTTGTCCTTCTGGATTGCCATGTTCTTGGTTTTTAGTATAATTCCAGAACTGAACAAAGGGTTTCCAGCAATCTGATTGGTTGAGCGGTTCCTTATATGACGCTATATTCACCGCGCCAGGCGGTGAATACAACATGAACGATGAGTAAATTGATTCACAATCGATGTACATGTAAACTTATTATTAAAACTACGGCTGTATT